CTCCTTGAAGACCCACAGTAACTCTTTTTGATACAGCATCTTTAATGGGGGTTCCTTGAGGAGCCATTCCATGACTGGGAATCGGGTTTCTTTTGTGGAAGGGTAAGATGGATAATGTGGGAGAGTTGATTTATTATTTAGAATATTATGAGAAAATATTGGAGGTTTGAGTGTGTCTCAGTGTGTACTAAGTTTTTGTGTAACCGTAAATGTTGAATTTCTTCAGGAAATTTAACCTTGAATATTAAATTGAAAGAAAATGAGATGCTAATTTCTTTTTAATAATTTACAACACTGATGTCAACAGATATTTTTTAATATTGAATAGTTAAACTTTGAAAATGATAGAGTAGACCTTTTTTGTGTAACGTTTAGATGGGATCTGTAATTCTTTTCTAATAATGTAGAGCAGTATGATGTGAACAATTTTTGTAAGCATTGAAAATTTGGAACTCCTACGAAATGAAATCCATAATGCTTAAATCAGGGAAACTTCCAAAATAGGAGTAAAAGCAAGGCAGCTTCTCTAAATAAGAATAATATTATGCAGTCCTATTCAAGGGTAAAATATAATACTCCTATTTTGGGAAATCACCTGGTTTTTACTCCTCTTTAAAGCAATTTCTTCTTAAATTATAATTGTGAAGCGTAAGATTGGTGTATATATTTAGATTATGAAATTAATCTTAGCTGTATGCCTGTATGTGAAGTTATGAAATGGCAAAACTTTGCTGTAAATGTTTGAAATCAGTTTGTAATAATTAGACCATTTTTTTAAAGCAGGCATGCAGCTAGATGCTCTAACAATGAACCAGTATTGGGAATATATAAAAGTTATATGGAGTATTAAGCAAGAGCTTAGCCAATGTGTATACCATTAGTGTCAACCTCCAATTGTTAATTGTTAATTATATTAACAATTAACCATCATCTTCTGACATATCTAAACTCTAGCATGTCATTTTGGGACACTCACTTTCACGAGGCCCCTTATGTACAGTTTCCAGAAGACTTCCTTTCGGAGACTCAGCTGTCATCTTACTTCTACAACCTGCACTTTGTGTAACATTCTAGATTCTCAACAGTTTCTGCTGTGCTTGTGGCTATCTTTCTGGCTGCATGCATACACTTGTCTGATACTCATCCTTCAGGTGCCATTAACAATTTAACATGATTACCAATTTTCCACAAAGAGAAGTGCTATAAAAATGACTACGGAGCTCTGCATGGTAGCAATGTTGTTAAAATCGTATTTTTGAATCGAATCGGTAGATGTTTTTAAAAATCGAATCGTAAAATCGAATCGCAAATCGTAAGATTTTACCAAACATATTTTAATAATTATAAAATAAATAAATATTAAAATTAAGTTGCAAGTTAATGATATTATATCATTTCATTACATAAAACTATACCTAAAATGTCAAAAGCAAGATTTATAAACTGTTTTTATAATGTAAATGTATTGAATAATACCATTAAACATATGTAAAACATAAAAATAATTAAGTAACACAAGAATCCATTACTTTTATAAATAAACTATTCATATTATTATTATTGGAATTATGTATCAATTTGTAGTTGTTAATTTTAATAAATTTGAACCATTTTCACCAAAAACAACTTATTACGATTTTGCTACGATTTCATACGATTTTACACGATTTTAGGACGATTTTGTACGATTTTATGATTTTACGATTTTACCTGCGATTTGAATCGCTTTATTAATGTAGAATCGTAAAATCGTACGATTTTACGATTTAAATCGAGATTTTAACAACCTTGCATGGTAGAACCATCTTCTTTCTACCATTATCATGCACCCAAAAGTTTATTATAAATTAAATAAAATGTTGCTCAAAATAAATAAATATATAAAGGTAAACGCATCAAATATAGCCTTGATGCTTGCTCCAAGTTACAAATAAGCCTCTAAGTTTTTTCCAGGTACATTAGCACCCTTATTATTTGGGAGAACTGTTCGCAATTGATGTACTACCTCTGTTATTTATTAGTTGCACCATGCTATATTTTATTGGCTAATGTATTTATCAAAATAAATTATATAAAATATTTTTAAATGTGTAAATGTAAACATTCAAAATATAATGTTTTAATAACTTTTACTAATAGCCGTTTAAATATATTAATAGTCAAAGTCGTGTGTTGGCCATTGTTAATAGTCAAAGTGGTGTGTTGGTCAACATGAAAGTTAAAGTGTTTCAACTAATAAGAATGGAGGAAGTATAACTGAACCTTTAAATTAAGATATAAAGATGACTTATTTGTATCTTAAATGTAAACATCATAGGTTTATTTGAACATTTTGAATTATTAAAGGAGGTTTTGGGGACCAAGTATGTGGTTGAGCTTGAGTTGCGGACCCATGGTACCAGATTTTAAATCCTCCCAAAGTGCGAGAGGTGGATATTACCTTTATAGTTAGTGAAAATGGACCACGACCCCCCTTTTTTAGCCTATGGTTGCCTATTGAGCGCCTCTGCGTGTGACTTGTATCCCCTTTCCAATTGTTGAGTGGAAAGGGATATCTTAAGTTCTAAACCCTTGTCGCTGTAGGTTGTCGCTATTATGTTAAAATTACTTGAAACATCAAATATAGTAAATCTTTTAGAATAGCTGTTTTACCATTTCTTCTTTCGATTGATTCCATGCTATTATTTGCCAAGATCTAGGCGTACTTTAATGGAAACCCAAGAAAGAGTAAGATGGTTGTTAAAACTCTAAATATTTGATATTGCTTTACTTGTAGTAATTATTCAATCTTGGTAGTATTGTGCTAATATATCTGTTATTCTGTCCAGAAAGGAGTGGACTGTGCAAGGTCGGAGCGATGGTGTTGGAACATCTCCTATGTCAGATGTTGGTGGTCTATATTCCGCACCAATGGCACAATCTCTTTGGTCATACAAGTGAGAGAACAGAAGAGGTTTTTTTATTATTTTATTTATGGAAAGCCCAAAAAATGATAGGGGTATGAAGGGCAAGAGTATACCTCCCACTCTTGAGGGGAAAACAGCCTCTTTTGGAGGAGAGTTTAGAATACTGAAGCAATGTATCTTCCTACTTTTCTTTACAAAGGGAAGATTTACTTTAGCTTTTGCATCTTCACTTGATAGCAAAGCGCATGGCAATGCATGTTTATTATTCTCGAGCGCAAATCATTGCAACCATCCTTTTGTAATGATACTTTTATATTGCTTCTCCCTGAAAAATGTTGGTCTCCTCTCTCAAATTGAGGTCCCTAATATACTTCTTCGCCTTGTTGAAATAGTGTTCATGTTTCCTTTTTAAGAACATAATAATCGTGTGAATTAAACAGATCATACCAGGCCTGAATTTCTTAGTGATAAAATACACAGAGATCAGATGTTTACCAGACTAGTTTAGACCAGATTAACAATTTCAGTCCAAGTAAAAACATCCTTAATAGGCAAGTCACGAACCTTATTCTGGATAAATAGTCACAGCTAATGCTAATTATCCGGGCTCGTGGCCTTGTGGGGGTTAATTTTGACTCTTACGGCCTGTTTGGATTGAGCCTTGAAGAGTGTTAGTAATGGAAGTGTTAGTAAGTGTTGATGCTAACACTTGTTTGGGATAAAAAACCAGAGGTGTTAAGAAGTGTTAGTAATGGTTAGGAAGTGTTAATAATAACCTTCCCAACACCTCAATTGTCCATTTTTTTAACACCCCGATTTGGAGTGTTTTGAGGTGTTGGACAATTATTATTCTTCTCATTTGTCCGAAAAACATAAAATGCTTCGACATTTCACTTCGAATGTCATTCCCACGGGTCTTATGGTTTGTTTTTTCATCTCTTCTCTTTACTCTTTCTTTACTCTTTCTTTAACACTTCCATTATTAACACTTCATTCATTTGACTCTCCCAAACAAGGTAAAATTATGTCTAACACTTACACTTCTCTTCCCTTCCGAGCCCTTACTAACACTTCCATTACTAACACTTCCAAACACTCCATCCAAACAGGCCCTTAGATCCCGAATCCCCAACTCCGTTTGGTTTTTCCATTACCATGTGCAAGAAATTAGCACACAAAAACTATTTGAAATAGTTTTGGAATATTCAAAATATGATAATCCACCGGTCGAACGGTCAAAGTAATTTTCTCGCATTTCTTCTTGGTCTATTGTCATAAACGGCTAAAAGTATCATTTCCCTATTTGGTACTGACTTGTTCTTCTGAGGTTTGTAAGTTTGTTGATTTTTTTGAAAGGACCATCGAAAAAAATCTGCCGCTTCGCAATAGGGAAACAAATTTTTTTTTTTTTTTTCCTGTTCTAAATAAAGACGTAGTTTTCACTTTGCTATTTGTCACTCAAAACTCCAAAGTAGCACTTAATTTAATAATAAGATAGAACTAATGTTTATTCCCAAACACTTGAAACAATGTGGGAATTTTGTTTTGGAAAAGCCAAAATCCATTGATCAAACTTGTGAGGTTATAATCCTTGAAACATCCTGAGAACATTCGTTCCTGGCAAGGCAGCTTGTAAATTAAAAAGAAAAGAAAAATGAATTCACCAAATAAGAAAAAGCATCCTGGTCGAGATCCTCTCTGAGTCTCTGATGCCATTTTGTAATTGTGATTTCCATAGTTTATACATTTATCGTTGGTTTAATAAAAAGCACTGAGTGGACTGGGGTCTACCATGTAGATAGAAAAAATATATAGGGGTGTGATTAGGCATGTACCGGTTCCGGGCAGGGCCAGTCCTGGGCGGGCTTTTTGGGTTTGGGTTCGGGACCGGAACCGGCCCGGGTTTCCACCAGGTCCGGACCAGTCTCTGGCCGGGCCACCGGGCCGGGCCGGGCCGGTTCCAAATAGTGCAGGGCCGGGCCACGGGCCGGTCGGCCCGGAACCGGTCCACCACTTGGGGTGATTGGGTGAATCCAAAAGAGTAACTCCAGAGCTATGATAATCGTTCTACTTATGGACGTTGGGGCAAGGTATGGATTTTACAATGGAGTTAACATGCACCAATTATATTAATGTGATAATAGTCCCTATAAATGAGCACAAAATGCAATGGCCAGAAAACAAAGACTGCACGTATCAGCTACCAAGCCTGATCACCAAATCAATGCTATTTAATCACACAAATCAACAGCTTAGGTATTGAATCCATAGAGTTAAGCTGCAGCCTCCTCCACTTGTACTTCTAGCTGCTCAGGTCGTCAGGTCGTGGCTGATCGCCTTGCATAGCCCAAACGATGTCCTTCAACGCTGGCCTTATCTCCTTCTCCATCATTGTCTGATATTCCAGTGTATCCCCATTGGACTTCTTCATTTCCACCAAATGGAAAGTAGGAGTCACTTCAAAGATTTCTGCATCAATGCACACAACCCCTTTTCTACCCAACTTCGTCCCTTCCAATCTGATGTACCCTCCTTTCTTCTTTATTGTCTTCAGCTTTAGATGCCTAGCAATGTCTTCTAGCTTGGAGAATATGGTTTTCGCCGGAAGTCTGGATGTGAACCTCTCTTCTCCCTTTTGATCATTTTTTTCCACAAACAAGCCAGACAGGTCAAAACCTGAGGAGAGTGATATGATATCAAAAGCATTCAAGTTTTTAAGCGTTACGGGTTCTTGATTATTTGCCTCTTCGGGCTCTTGATTGCTGGCTTGCCTTATATCCAAACCCTTCCTGAACCAAGAATTCTCCATTATCTTGGCAATGGTAATTCGGGTTTTAGGGTTTGGATCTAAAAGCTTTGATATCAACTTACGGACATCCGAAGAGAAAAACGTCGGGTACTTGAACTCTGCCGTCTTTATTTTTCGATACATCTCCATCAAGTTCGAATCCTGGAAAGGGAGATATCCCGCCAATAGAACAAATAAGATCACCCCACATGACCAAACATCGGCTTTTGCCCCATCGTAGCCTTTTCGTGTAATCACTTCCGGAGCAACATACGCGGGAGTCCCACATGTAGTGTGGAGTAAGCCATCTTGATGCCTGGACTCTGCAAGAGCACTCAACCCGAAGTCAGAAACCTTTAGATCACCATTCTCGTCTACCAGTAGGTTCTCAGGTTTCAGATCCCTGTGGTAAACACCTCTACTATGACAGAAGTCAACAGCACTTATTAGCTGCTGGAAATATTTCCTTGCAACTTCTTCTTTTAGCCTTCCTTTGGCAACCATGTTGAAGAGTTCTCCCCCTTTGACGTACTCCATGACAAAGTAAATCTTGGATTTGGTGGCCATAACTTCGTGAAGATGAACTATGCTGGGATGTTTGACTAGTCTCATCACGGATATCTCTCGTTGGATTTGATCATTCATCCCAACTTTGAAAACCTTTTCCTTATCAATGATCTTGATCGCCACACTAGACCCGTTCTTTAGATTTCTTGCGTGGTGGACCTTGGCAAAATTCCCTTGTCCTATCATTTTCCCTAATTCATAATGTTGCATTGCATTGCTCCCTTTATTCTCCATTTTCATGTTCCAATAGCTGCTTCCTCCGTCTGGGTTCTAGGGTTGTGAAGTTTAAAGTTGACCTGTGAGAAAGATTTATAATTTACTGTTATTATCAAAACTTATCTATTTAAAAACTATAATTAAAGCTCAACTGATGTGCCAAAACCGAGTGTGAAGATAATAAATAACTGATACGTGAAATCAAAAGAATATACAGGAACTGGTTTGACGAGTGAATAATGAAATTGCAAATTAAATTTGGACTGAAGGAATAGTAATTAATGAATACCTTTGCTTCACCAGGCTATAAGATTTCAACCATCTTCAAAGTGGTCATAAGAATAATCTGTGCTCCAACATATTTAGCCAAGGCTGGCATTAGGTAAGGGAATCTGAGATGGTTGTATATTTTTCCAACCTCATCAAAGGCAAAGTAGGATGGCTGCTCAGAATAAGCTCCTTCCTTAATCTCAGACAAAGACTCCATCTTTCTGCATTCCCTGAGCCCTTAAACGGACTTTGGCAGTTTGACCTGAAAAATGAAAAAACCTTCAAACTCTGGAACAGATCAGGCAAGAAAAGAAATTGTGAAATAATCATATAGCACTTCAATTACAACATCAAATTTACTAGAGAATCATATTCCAAACCAAAAGTTGAGATGCAAGATCACTTATAGTGGACGCAACATCACGATACACGCCTAAACAAATAATATCAAATAGCTACAAAAATACACAATATATGTAAATTTTCACAGAAACAAAAGAAACACTTTGATTAAATATGTAGTAAGTAACAAAAAAAGGTAAGAGGTTAGCAGTGGCTGGGTTGGAGGGGGGGGGGGGGTCGTGTAACACCCCACAGACCGAGCCCCTACCCCATCAGTTTTTGCTACATACATACATACATATATAAAATGAAACTCATGTCAGTCACACCTGATGGATTCCTGCCATGCGTACACCATTTTTGAGCAATATATAATTCAACAATCTAGGTTTTTTCAGTCAATACTCATTAGCATCAACTATTAATTCTAACCATTAGAAACTCACATTCTGTAGAGAGGAGGAAAGTATGGAAACTCTGATGGAGAACAATTTATTTTTATTCACTTCACCACACTTGCAAACATACAATACAAGGGATGAGCTATGTATAAGATGAGTTCTCTAACCCTTCATATTCTAAACCTTTCATATTCCTATGTAATTATTAATCTCGGTAATTAATGAACCTAGAAACTTACAAGGAGCATCAAAAGACTCTATTACTTTAAAGTTTAATTTAATTAATTTCCAACACGTTCCACCATTAGACTTTATGGTTAAGATTAAGTCATCATTAAAAATAATGTTATCTTCTGTAAAATTGAATTTTCCACTTGGTCGGTTTGATGCTAAATGAGCACACCTACATCTATATATAGATACAATTGACAAAAAATGTATCTATATATAGATACAATTGACAAAAAAAATGTATTCTTGTATAATCTAAAAGAACAGCTACTTAAATATGAATATTTGGCTCCCGTTATAAAATTTCCAAACTTTGGCCTTTTAATACAATTCCTGACTTCCCCATTGAAGATTTTAGCCTTAAGAATACAAGTGTACAACTTTCTGTTGGAAATTTGCCATGCAAGGAAAAACAATCAGGGAGTTCCAAAGACAAGAACCTATGTTGCACGGAAACGTAAAAGTCATGAGGAAACGGGAAACTGGAAACAACATCTTTTGGTCGAAACAATTATTTTGAGATTTTCCAAAGAATTTGCGTAGAGTTTCCAAAACGGAAACGTACTTTGTCCCTAGAGCTTCCATGCTTCATAGACAGTAACACATGAACAAACGTGAGAACACCAGTAATTAATCCCCAACCATTGAAGGAATATTAATTGACTATTCTTCCATAGATCCTTCAAGATTTTAAAGAAGGGAACTGTTTTGCTCCATTATCCTTCAAGATTTCTGAGGAGACAGAGATTCAGAATATGTGGAAACCAAAAACTCAAAAATTACACAAAACGTATCAAAATAACCATTACACAAGGCTGCACCAAACAACAAGATTATGAAAACAAGTTAATCAATGTTAAGCTTCATCAAAAATATCTCTTTACCTTGAGAGTTGAAGGAAAAAGGTAAATCAATGTTGCAGGAGCCGGATGAAGAGATTATTGCAATCTTCAATTTATCTGTTTTATGGAATCTGGGAACAATAATAGGGTGGGCAAGAAGTCACCAGTGTTAATTGAGCAGGTTTGTACTTACGCCATGTGATATGGATGATTAAAATAATAACAACCACCCAAGTGACCCGACAAAACCCATAATAATAACAAGTTAACAACAATATTATTATTATCATAACTACCGGATTATTGTTGATTATTATTTTTCTATTTTTTTTCTGGCTGAGAAATTTCTAAATTATGTCATGTTCTATTATATGAGAACTATTAGTTTTATTCTTAATTAAGCCTTCCAATTCGAAATAGAACACTAACTTTGATATAAAGAATTATTTTTATTTTTATTGGTCCGTGTCTCGAATTCGAACTAATTTAATTGTGCATACATCATGCAAATTAAAATAAGGAAAAATGGAGAAATAACGAAATCGAAAAAAAGTTAAAAATCGTAATAGTCAATCCTTTATATAAACATGTCATTTTTATGGATGAGAATACTACCGTGCAACAATGGGAAAACGAAAAAGTAAAAAAATCGTGCATTCAAATAAATCAGACCTCTCGCCGACATCCTTCTCCATGGCGTCTCTTCAGGTGACGATTCCAATCGCTTCCGGTACTGCATCTTCACCTTCATTTTCTGGGTCATCTCACACGGGCTTCACATTAAGGGTCGATTAAGGGTGCTGAAGATAACAGAGAGAATTTTGGATCGAGATTAGGGTGCTGAAGCTTCAAATTAGGGTTGGGGTTTTTTTGAGGAAGAGGGTGATGATGAGAGGAGTGGGGATAGTTGAGTTGAGAAAGAGCCGACGAATTTTTTGGTGACAATTCCATTACCTATCATTCATTTGATTGGATCACATCACTTTATCAATTTTAATTTAGATTTAAATAATTCAACTGTTAGCTTTTCATTGGTCCATGTGGACAAAGGTATGATACCTTATGGGTACCATAGAAACTACCTTGTTTTTTTTGCAACCAAAACAGCTTTATTCATTAATATCAGTGAGTAATAAATCAATCATACAATCAGGTGGTCTATGAAACCACACATAGTCAGGCTCAGAAATGGCTTGCCGTGCAAACACATGTGCAACCCGATTCGCTGACCGATTAACAAACTGGACACTTATCTTAGCAAAATCAGCCATCATATGTCTAATATCATCATAAATATCATCATTATAGAAGAACCATCCCGATCTCTAATCCCTTGAACAACCTATTTAGCATCAGATTCAATGATGACATCTTTCCACCCCGTATCCGTCGCCCATTGAATTGCTTCTCGAATGGCCAAAGCCTCAGTAGTGCTGGCTGAAAACCTCCCAGCCTCCTTGACCCCGAAGAACACATTTGTTATACGCCGTAGAAGCCAGAAAGGGGAGAAGGGTGAGGAAGAACAGTGTGTGATAGGAAGAGGGGAAGGAATAATTTGGGGGGGTGAGAGAATTACCATAAGGGTAGGTGTGTAATTGTACATAAAATAATTTGCCAAAAAAAGAAATGGGGCTATCAAATTGGGACAACCCAAAACAGAAATATGAGACTCTCATTTTGGGACGGAGGGAGTACTATTTATAGGGTAGGTGGGATGGATGGCATGACTAACTCTGAATGGCTGACCCCTTTACCACTTGCACACTCATGCATCCACTTGAGTGCCCATACTCCAGCATTAAATGCGCCCCTGCTACTTGCAAGGCTTCTCGATCGGTTCTTTGGGCTAATGTAATCAGCAACCGTGAATGACATTCCCTTCTGGTCAAGCATAAGATTCATCCCGTTCGGGAGCCGCCGAATGGGGGATTTGTATCAGACTCCTGGGCCCGTTCAGGAGTATACTACTCCACCTAGTTTTCACTGGGCTTCGTTACTTTTTTTGGGGTTTAGGGATAATTTGTGTCGGTTTACTAGGCCAGACCCTATATCCCAACAATATTCTAAATTCAGGAGGCCTTTTATTTAAAAATCACAAGTGGAGGTGATGTTATTGACTTTGATGTTCTCAAATTCCATGCGAAAATGATTATTTATGAACTGTGTTGGAACCTAGGATTTTGTTGTGCTAGTGTCTCAACATGTGATCTTCATAGAAGGAAAAGTGGTGTCGGACATTGCTCAACTCCTATATATGGTGTGTTTGTAGATAGCCAAGTTTAATAAGGTTTTACCGAAGGTAATCAAATATTTAGAGATTGAACCTTTAGTGATTAAGCATCAAGTTCCCGGTGCTCAACTTCACTAGCTACCGAAGATGTTTTAATTTCCACTTGAATTTTGAACCTTCTTTTGAAATTTATGGACTCTCTTATCATTTCAGAAGTAATTTGTAATATTTCATCAAGTGCTTTTGTTTGGAAACACTATTAAATGAGTGCTAGACTAGGAGGGTGTTTGGAGCACCTAAAATGGGCTGAAAAGCCTGAAAGTATGAAAAAAACCACCAAACACTTCATGATTTGGCTATTTGAGCTGAATTTTTTGATCAACCAAAAAAGCAACTATATGGCTACTTTTTGAACTGATTTTTATTATTGTACTATTTGAGATTGAAAAGGCCCTTTTAGCCTTTTATATTGAAGAAATACGTGTTCGTTGTTTAGGACGAACGAAAGCTCCTCGCTTGGGAGCTCCAGATCAATTGCTTCTTATTCAATGAGTGCTCCATATACTTTACTATTTTGGACTTTAGCAAAATAAAATTCAAACAAACCTCACTCCGTATGTTTTGTTTCATCTTATTTTAATTTATTTAAGTGCATGTGAGTTTTTTTATACTCCGTATACTTTATAGAAAGGGTATTTTTTAAAATTAATTTACTCTATATTGTTAACAAAAAAGTTATAGTGACATCGTTTATTCGAAAAAAATTGTGTAAAAAGTCAATATAATAAATTAATTAAGCATTCTTATAATCACCTAATCAAGCAAAATTAATTCACTAGTAAAATTCACACTCATATATTTAACACAAATAAGTTAATACCCTTTAAAGTAATTTTACATTCAATCAGTCATTTCAGCCAACATATTACCAAACACTTTCACTTCAGCATATTCAGTCTTTTCAGCCTATTCAGCCGTTGCAGCCGTTACCAAACGGGCCCTAGACAAGTAGATGAACTTGAGTATGATTATTAACTTTATAATAATTCGATTCCAATTGGTTCTAATACGTAGCATCGAAATTTACGTAATGAAAAACTACTACGGAGTATAAAGTATAAAAATTTCAGAACCCTTGAATCAAGGCCTTGCATCTAAGACTTTTGGTAGTTGCTTTTTAATTATCTCTAAAAAGCTAGGCTTAGAGCTATCTAGTGACTACTCCCTCCGTCCCAGAAAATTCTTCCTAGTTTGACTTGGATCGGAGTTTAAGAAAGAGAGAATAAAGTGGAAATGTGTGGTTGTAGTTGTGTAAGAAAAAGGTGAAATGAATGTGAGCCACACAAATAATAAAAAAGGTGAAGTTGGAAGAATTTTCTGGGACGTCCCAAAAAGGAAAGTTGGAAGAATTTTCTGGGACGGAGGGAGTATTTCTTAACAAGAACTTGCATCTGATTGATA